ATATTATTAAAATTTAAAAGTATTTATTATTTAAATATGTTATTAAAATTAATTTTTAATTTTAAAATTTATATATACATATATATATAATAAAAATTGATCGGTGATTGGTTATTTATGTGAGCTACCGTATATATATTTTTTGCCTCTAATTAGACTACAAATAGAAACATTTATTAATTCAACTTTTTTGAAGAACAATAATACAATATATATAATATTATACTAAAACCAAACTAATATAATTTTACAGAATACTTATCAATAAGTTTAGATTTGTATGTGATTCTTGAATTCTTAATATCAAGACCACTGTGTTGCTCATATAATTTAACTATTTACTAACTATTTTATTATAAGAAAGTAGATTAATTAAGCTATTATTGTGTGATATTAATTATTTTAGACTTTTTAAATCTTAACTCTCTAGATGTGATTATAGGAAATGATAGGAATTTTTTTTCTTAAGATTAGGCAGAAAGACTATATCTTGAAAAATCTTAGTCAGCCTATATTCAGACTGTCACCTCAACATGAACCAGTGGTTCTAAAAGGTAAAAAAATTTTATTTTTAAAAAAAAAAAGAATAAATAAAAAGAATAGTTGAAAAGTTTGTTTTGATAAATAAAAACCCTTCAATATCAATTTTGATTTATCAGGATAAATCCTTTATCACTATCTGCAGCTAGAAAAACCATTTAATTTTCACTATTCTATTGCTAACTAAGAATATTCAAGGTATTTATAACAAGTCTTATACCTATAAGGAATTATTGTTTGGAATAAGACTTATACCTTAGGGAATTATTGTTTGATGTCTTCTTGAGATAATTAACAATAGAGAAAGCTTGTTATTAAATTGGAATAAAACTTCTTTATATTTTGAAAAGAAAAGAAACCAGTTCAAAAAGAGATGGGAAGCACCATAACATATCTTGACAAAATGTACATATTATCATTTTATTTTTTTTACTGTATCCAATGGTATCATCAGATTTATTGTTGTATGAGATAGGGTACATGAAAGTTATATATCTTGTTTACATTTCTTGTTATGTGTAGATTAACCAATTCAAATTTCTAGCCAATTATTATTCAGGAGTTTCAGTGTAACCAAAAATTCAGAGTTAAACTAAAGTAGGCAAAATTTCTCAGAAAAACCAAAAAAAAGTAGATATGCTTGAAAGGATAAGAGAAAAACTTAAGAAAAATAAAAGAAGAGTTTCAAAAGCCTATATCAATCTTTTTTGGAGGAAGAAAAAAGTATACTTTTTTTACAAGTTCTTTTTTCTAACAAAGTATTTTTGTCTTAAACTTTGTAGATAGGTTTTTCTTATATTTACTTGCTGAAATATAGGAAGTTTATATCAAAGAAAGAAAGAAACAAGAGGGAAGAGACCAAAGCCTCTAAATATTAATGTTGTTAAAGAAAATATATAGACTTTATTATAAAGAAATATGAAATTTTTTTGGAACATCTGTTTTTGTGTTGGCAAAAGGATCAGTAGAAAAAGTTTTTTTTAAAAAAATATTATATATAGAAAAAAGTTTATTTGATATACTGTATATACTGTATATATATATTATATTATAAATAAAAATTTATAAAAATTTAGTTATACTGAGCTTTACATAAGAACAAAATTTATTTTATTAAATTATTTCTTTAACAGATATATAGTTTATTAAGTCAAGTAATATATTTAAGTCATTTGATTTGTTTTCAACTCTGAAAAGACATTAATCATTTAGTATTAGAACTAATTTAAATTATATTAAGTGTAATAAAAATAACAATAATTAGTATTATAAATAAGTTAATATTAACTTATATATATAATTATGTAAAAATATTTGATATAATCTATATATCAATTTATATATTTTAATAAAGCTTTATATTTAATGTTTTTTTATAATAAAAAAAAATTATAATAATTTATTTAGATTAGTTTTCATTAAAATTAAAACTAATCTAATTTAAAAACTAATTGATTTATATAAATATAGTTTTTATTAAATTAAAATTTTTTAATTATTATAACTAAAAATTATTTAATTTTTTTTGAAAAAGTTATATTTATATATTTCAATTTTTAAGTTATTCTATTTGCAATTAACTATTTAATTCAACTTAATATAGGTTATATTTTTAAAAAATAAAAAATAAATTTAAACAATATTAATAAATATATTTATAATTTATTTGTTATTAATATTTGAAAATAAAGAAAGATTATATTATATCAGTATTTAATTTTATATTGATTTTTTTAAAAAAAATTTAAATCAAAAAAATTATTTATTTATCTATAACAAATTTTTTAATATTAATTTGAAATTATAATTTATATAAAGGATAATAAAAATTATTATTGTATTTTTTGTAATTTATTTGTAAAAATTTGAATTTGTATAATGAATAAAAAAATTTTATAAAAAAAATTTAAAAATTTATTGTTTAAAAGTTTATAAAATAGCGTCTTAAAAATATTTTTTATAAAATAAATATATATCATATGTTATTAATAAATTATTATTTTATTTTAAAAATATTACTATTATTTAATTTTGCAATCAAAATTTGCTTGCACAACAATTTAAGGAATAACTATATAATTGAATATAAATAACTCAATAAAAATATATGTACTATTAATATTTGTTATTTGAAAAAAAAAGTATTAAGATTATTTTAATGTATAAGTTTGTAATAATAATAATAATAATATGATTATTATTATTTTTTTTTTATTAAGTACAAAAAAATTATTTAACAATTAATTCAACTTAAAATTTAGTTAAAATTTTATTAAAATAATTAAGTTTTATGTAAAAACATAAAGTTTTCAAAGGTTTTTTAAAATCAATTTTACATAATCAAAAAAAAAATAAATTAAACTAATTTTAATAACATTTGTTAAATATGATGATAAGTCTTTGATAATTTTTTTATAAGCTCCAAATTTTTATTTAATTTCAAAAAACCTATTGTTAAACTGGATTTGTTCCATTTGCACGTAAAAGTTTTTTTGGAAGAATAGTAAAATACGTTTCATTATATCATTAAATTAAAAAAAAAATTGTTTCAAGCTAAATCAATATCAAGAGAGTGCCGTGATCAATACCGTGCATATTATTTTATTTTAAATTACAATTCTGATAATAAAGTCCAGAATCATTAATGAATTAATGCAGTATAATAAGTTGTAAATTTAGTGTAACAATTCACTCAAAATTTTCTTTCGAATATACGCAATGTACACAGAGTATAACAGCATGCCATGTATAAGAATAATTCTAATTCGACTGTAGCTAATGATAATAACGAACGTTATGTTCAACATCATAACCGACAATTATTATTTTTGGTTAACCAAAGAAAGAATTCTGGTGATATGAATAGGGTGATCAATAATAAAGATTGATAAAGATAATTTCAATTACCGGCGTCCAAATAGATTGATTAATTGGGCATCGAGAATCGCACTTGGGTTATACTGTAAATGATGAAACGTGTTTGGAGAATATAATTTAAGTAAAGATCGTTTGCATGAATGTCGGAATGTGTCAAATTTTAAGGTTCTATTTGTTGTACTAATTACCAGGTAACTCATATTGTTCAAACATCATTGTGTTGTGATTCTTCTTGCTTACCGCTTTGAGTGTCGTCGTCAATTAGGGTACGGTCCTAACAATATAACCTTCCAACCAAATTTACATGATTATTGTTCCATTTAAAAAGTTTAATGAACATTGCAATTTAACTCGCATAAATTTAAAAAGCTGTAACACTTTGGACTAGATTAAGACAAGCTGTATCCCAAAATACAGTATATCGTTAACTTAAATCTGATTTAATTTTGACCTATTGTCTGTCCATTGCATCTTTTATGTTAGAACATCACTGTTGAACATCTTTAATTTATTAAATTTATTATGATTTATCCTTTTTTGTTTTCCTTTTATACTGAACTCCGGGACTCGAAACTTGTGTGGGGTAATCTACCAAAAACGGTACAAGTGTTTGACGTGCATAGATGGCGTTGCACGAAACTTTAAAACTTTTGACAGCACAATCAAATCAAATTCGTGTGTGTTCTCGTCAGAAAATTGAACTCGGTACCAAGTCATAAGAAAGTCGGGTCCCAGCTTTTTTTCCCACGTTAAAATTAGATATCACAGAATAAAAAAATTTTTTCGTGGGGAGGGGAACGGTATTTTTGCTAGCATGTTGATTTTTATATGAGGATCCGATTAACCAAAAATAGGCAGGAAATCAAAGAATCTTTCATTTAAAATTTGATCACGATATACTACCATATGTTCAACAAATGATTCGTTACAATTGCATGTTTATGTTATTATCATTATCATTACTGGTTTTCCCCTTCAATCAACACTTGCCCAATGACATATTCTCCATCGTGCGAAATTGAAGAATGGGTCTTTACAATATCGAAGGAAATTTCTTGTTGAAATCTCTTACTTAGAATCAAGCAAGGTTTTCCTGTAAAACCGACCATTAACAGATTATCGCCGGAGAAAAAGGCCTAACTACACAAACATCCATATGCGGATACACGTACCTTCAACTTTTTTCACCGAAAGATCTTTCCAGGTGGCCTTGTGGTGAGGGTAAAGTGCTTTATAGGCTGCCTCCTTTAACGACCATCTAGAATAGAAGTGCGAGATACCGTGAGTCGCGCAATCAAACAAACGATCAATCGATACAGTGACATTGACAAAAATCACCTGACAGCCAAGTATTTTACAACCGATTGATTACGTTCATTCATCGCGTCCACAAACATTTCTTTCATGTGTTTCGTGTCGACTCCATCGATCCTCTCCCAGTCATTCTTGGCACATTTTTCGAATTCGGGAAAAAGACAATAAAATTCGTTGATCTCCTCCGAATCGAAAATTCGCTTGACAAATCTAGTGAGCTGAAAAGGTTTTCGCGCTATTAGTGT